TTGTCTTTACTTTCTTTTTAGTTATTATTTTTATTTGACTGTCAAGTTGCACAGTCTGTGAGCGTCAAGAGCACGCAATTGTAATTACGTTGAATAAGAAGGGACTTAAACCCTTCACAAGGCTCTATCTTTTATACAAGTTTTCACAGTCACCTCTTGGTTGCGTGCAAGTTGGAGGCGCGCAACGTTATAAATGTAATTAGACAGGTGCTTATTTTTTCCTTAAAATGTGCTTATAGGTGCTTATTTTTTTAACTAAAATGTGGCTACGAACCCTGAATTTTAGAATGCTCACCATTTATATATCTAAATTCTAAATTTAAATCTAACCAGAGCATATTTTGCTTTAAGTAACATCTTTTTGCACATAAACTTGTCATTTCAGGAATTTGTGTTTTGAGTTGCAAGCAGAGTATGCATTCTTTTCTTCAGAATAAAAGATAACAAGAAGATATAAAAAAGAATATTGGTACTAAGAAAATAATTTCATTTCAGTTGATTTTTGATGCCTGAAATATATCTATAGGTGCATGCAGTGACTTTTATAAAATCTCTTTAAATTATCAAGACGGATGTACAGCAAAGCATGAAGCTTGTTTAAGCTTAATGTTAAAAATAGTTTTATGGATATGATAAATATTAAATATGGCTCCAAAAGTACATAGAGATAAGCTAAATTTCTCCTGAACATGTGAGTGATATTGTACTTAACAAATTTGCCAAAAGAGCAATGTCTAAAGCAATAATTGCTGAGTAATAAGCTCAGTAGCATACCATTTTAATATGGATTAAGATCTGGCCACTGAAGCTCAGTTCTCACGTGAACTGGCTTCCTTGCTGTCTCCTGTGTATGGTATTACTCAAGGAGAGCATGACTAGAGAAAGACTCCTAGAGCCTCAGAAACATGTTTCTAGAAACTTCTAGAATGTAGTGAAAAATCACCAAAACTTGGTGATAAAAATTATTATCAAGGCTCTGTAAGAGGTCTTCAGCTTATTTCTTCAGTTCTCTTTAAGTTGTCTTTATAATTCTAACATCAACTGAATTTACTGTACAAATATATGAATTAAACATATAGATTAAAAAAATATGGCTTCAAATAAAATACACTGCTTGACATTGAAAATACAGCACCAAGAAGGAGTGGTCAGATATTTATGCAAATTTTAGAGTAGACGCACGTCACTGAGTTATGGGAATGATGTGAAATGCGCACCTCTCCGACACATGTGAAGTAAGATATAAGGGAAGGAACGTGCAGAATGGGCAACATTTGTGTCGTTATTCCTGCCAGATGAATTATTGAAGAAAGTTGGGTTTTGTCCCGGAGGATACGTGTAATAGGAGAGAATACCAGGCCACCGTCAGCGAAGGCACTTCCAACAGATAGACGATTTTATGAGGGGTATGATGATCGGACTGAGAAGGGTGGGTTGGTCCTTACGTCAAATCGCAGCTGATACCCACATGGATGCGAGCACAGTGCATCGGCTATGGCGAACATGGTTGGAACAAGGAAATGTGGGAAAAGGCGGGATGCAGGTGCAGCCAGAATGACGTCAGCACGCGTGGATCGACACATCCGCCGACAAGCTGTGATGGTTCCGCAAGTCACTTGTACTGTGATTCTGCAGCATTTGCAAGATACCCTGAATGGCCTTGTGTCGACCAGAATCATTTCCCATTGATTGGTTGAACGTGGCCTGCACTCATGGCGTCCGTTAAGAAGACTGCCATTGACCCCACAGCATAGACGCCAACGTTTAGAATGGTGCCAGACTGGAGCGATGTGGATGACAGAATGGCGAAATATCGTATTCTGAGAGGAGTCACGCTTCTGCTTATCCAAGGCGTTATTGCCTACGATTCCGGGTCACCTCTAGTTCGTATTCAGGGCATTATGACGGCCCAACGATACTTGGATGATGTACTGCGGCCGGTGGTAATCCCCTACCTTCAGGGGCTGCCTAATGCAATTTTTCAACAGGATAACGCCCGACCACACAGTGCTCGCATCTGCCAACATGCTCTGCAAGGTATACAGATGCTTCCCTGGCACCGTACTCTCCTGACATGTCACCAGTCGAACATGTGTGGGATGTGATTGGATGCCATTTGCAGACTCTGCCCCTGCCTCGTTCAGAAGACGAACTGTGGCAAATGGTTGAAAGGGAATGGAGAGCCATCCCTCAGAACACCATCCGCATTCTTATTGAATCTATGTCTAAACATGTTTCTTCGTGCATCGTTGTCCGTGGTGGTCCTAATTCCTACTGAGCAACGCTGTTCTTGCTCTGTATTCTGATTATCATTTTGAAACAAAGATCATTTATTGCTGCATGCTGCCTCTGTCTGTTTTTCCAAAATTTCATCACTTTCTGACCACTACTTCTTGGTGTTGCATTTTCAATGTCGATTTTCCATATTTTACAAAATGCATAAAAATTATCATTAAAATCACTAAATAAATTAATAAATAAATGAAAACAATAGACATAGAAATGAAAATACGAACAAATAAGCATAAAAATATATACTCAAGAAGACATATGTAAAAGATATTATTTTCTTATTAAATGTGGATTACTTTTCATTGCATTTCAATTTATGTAAAATATCAGAAGGGAAACTTTAATTTGTCTTTTTGACAATTTGATGATTTTTTAAATTCACTCTTTACATCACTGAATTTTTCAACTAAATTTGTAAAAGTACTTTAATATATATTTTGTCCTTATGTTTTAACTCCTTTATATGTTTGTTTAGGTAGCGGTCTCCAGTGGGGAAAAATGAAGACAGCTGCTCCATCTAGTATTGGATTAGGAATGGGTACAATATTATGGATTTTCATAGCTAACACAGTCTTTTATTTTGCTTTGATGTGGTATTTTGAAGGAATATTTCCTGAGAAACATGAGGTTCCCCAGCCATGGTATTTTCCATTTAGTGTATGTTGATTGTACTTCATATTTCTGAAGTAAAGTAATAATTTAAATACTTAACCATTGTGTTTTAACACATTATCTCAACTAATCCCCTTCAACCAATTAATCTGTGAAATATTTTTTATTATGCCATGATGGAAAAGCTTTATCTTCTCTTCTCTTTTTTTTTTTTTTTTTTTCCCCCTTTTTGTGCAAACTGAGGAATCAGATTTAATATTTCCATACACTGGTGATAGAGAATCTAAGTAACTTACCGCAATTACAATACTAATTTATATCTACTATTAATTATAAATCTGTCAAATATGTTTATAAAAAAAATCTAAAATTTTTGCTTAAAATCCCTATAAATTTTATCTTATTTCTTTGAATTTAAAATGGTAAAGAGAATTTTAGGGGACAACAAAACTGTTAGCATAGAAATAACAGAAATAAAGATGATTGCAATCGAGTTAAATTTCTCTTTTCCAACATTTGATGTGCCTTTTTATTTCAGTACTCCCAATTCTTTCAAGCTGTTTCAGTTGAATACATTAAAACAGTAAAAATAACCTTTTAGCTGTTGTGCTATTCTTTGCCTTATGTGACTAATAAAATGTTCTAAAAGAAAAATTTAAATAACTCATTTGCAATCATCTTTATTTCTGTTATTTCTATGCTAACAGTTTTGTCGTCCCTTAAAATTCTCTTATTGTTCCAATATATTATTTTGCTTAAGTCCTACAATTTTATTTTTAGTTATTTTTAGTTAGTTGAAAATTTATGTTTTATTTTTTAGTGCATTTAATTAATCTTCAAACGATCTTAAGGTTCTGGTTCTAGAAAGCCCAAAGTTCTCAAAAATGCCATCAAAAAGGGGTATTTTCTTGATTTTTAATTCCAAAATGTCCCTACTGTTTTATACCTGTATTCTTAATATATCCTTAATAATTTGGATATATTTCAAGATGCACATATACATACATAATTATTCAGAAGTGTTACTAAAAAATATTCTTAGATGTGTGAGGCTAAGTTAAGGTTAAGAAAGTAAAGGTGTTCTATCTATCTGCTTGTGTAAGAATACATTTAGTTAATTCCAGTTTCTCTTTGACTATCTGATTCATTATCATTTAAAATCTTAAGCTTGTTGACGATGATGGATTTAATCTTTTACTAAAAAAAAAAAAAAAAAAAAAAAAAAAAAATCGGGCATTTTAAAGTCTTTTATTTAAGGGAAAAAGTGCAATTTTATGCTTAAAAAATCGTGATTTTAGCAACCTTCTCTGTTTTCAATATATTTGCAGTGGATAGCAAAATCATGCGTAAAACAAATTTTTTTGCGAAATAATTAGAATTTAGGGGTGGGTAATATGAAATCTTAGAGAGAATTGTGTCTAATTTGTCAATAATTACTTATTGAATTTAATAAATAAAGTGTAAAATTGTTTGTGGTGTTTGATGCTAAAATTTATTAAAACTTATCTTAAAATACACATGGGGAGAAATCTTATGCTATTAGAAAACTAAATGAATTTATGAAAGTAACTGTAATTTCACAATTGGATTAAAAAAATTAGGAGAAAGATTCTAAAAGGGATATTTTAAAATTAGTAATGGCTCATCAAAATGTGAAATAGTAACTTTTTTAAATATCAGCAAAAAGATTAAATGCATTTTAACACAATTTTCGTTTTTCTTCATAAGTTGAAACATAACTAATTTTTTTAACACAGAAATCGAAAGTAATTAAAATATATACATAGTGAAATCTATTCTGTAAAACACCTTTAAAATATTAGATGAAAGAGGGATGAAATTTCTTGTTTCATTTAATAATAGTATAGGTTCTGGTATATCAGGTATTCAAAATAGCTAACCAGATATCTTTTTGCTGAAATATTGATCTTGCACATGTTCTTGTTTTTACAAATTTTATGAAAATCAGATGCAGAATGAACAGTTTCAGCTTTATGGGAAGGACACATTTGTGAAGTAATTTACCATACATTTTTGCATGATCTTTATTGAATAAAATGTTAAAATATTTCACCCACCTGTGGCCAAGTAGTTAAGATCTCTGAATACTAATAGTTCAACCTGGTTTATGCTCAGTCCCAGATGAATGGACTGGCTGCTTGTTTGGTTTTCATGATTTTTCCCTTATGTAACATGGCTACTAGCCAGTTCCCCTCAGAGAGTTCTCCATGAAGATGTCTCTCCTCTAAGGCAGATAGGTTTTGTAGCTTTCAAATAACCTAACCTAAACCAGGTAAAGTATTACACTATAATTAGTTAATTAGTTAGATAGGAAAAAATTCATATATTTATATGCAAAATTAGTAGACATGGTTAAGAACAAATTTATCTGGCTTTGCATTTTTAATGCCTAGTCTTGATTTAAATTTAAGACCTTTGAGAACAGATTGACTGAAAATGCTCAAAACAGGAGTTCTTTATTTAGATTGTTGATGGTTTCATCATGAATAAAGCATCATTACCATTAAATTAATAATTGGCCTTTTTGTGTGTGTGTTTTAAGCATATGTCTCTGAATTTTTTATATAAAGGTAAGAAACTTAATTTTAAACTAATTAGAGCATAATGGATATTGTAGTTATCAGGACTCAGAATCTGTAGAGAGCATAAAAAAATTTAAGTTATTATTATTAGAGAATTTTCAAAGCACAGTGTCTAGATCATTTTTGTAAAATTCTACGCTTTATTTTAAGAAACTTTGTGATTTTAAATGTATAAGATAAAATCAGTTCCCCCCCCCCAACACTCTGCCTTGGGACTTTTTTCACATCTTTCAGTTAGCAGTTCTTTAAAAAAAGAAGTAATCTAATAATTTTTTAACAAAATATTCAATAACTGTTATTTTTTTTCATCGTCATCATTAAATATTCCTTCATAAAGCTTAGATATGAATTTAGAGAACTGATAATAGTTGATTTCAGCTAAATCTGGTAATTAAGAAGAAAAATCAGCCTCTGGAAATAGCATTTTCTTAATTGCTTCTTTGACAATGACAGCTATTTGAAATAGAGCAGTATCTTGAAAAATATTAGCTTCTTTTCTGTTTAATTTCACTGTGCAGCTCTTGCAGAAGGCTTGTAAACTTGCAACCTCTTCTATGATAATCATCATTCTCTTGTTTTGAATCACTCATTGAAAGCAAGGCATCTATTTCAAAAAGATGCTCATATAAAATGCACCAAAAGTTGCTTTAGAGAGACCAAATCATGGTGCTATCTTCTTGTCTTTTAACCTGCTGTCATTCAGTATTTCTTCCTATGAGAGCAATATTTTCTGATGTTAATGCCTCCAGTGATGGGTCTTTATGATCATCTTCAATGGATTCGCACCCTGTCAAATTGTTTTGCCCATTCTTTCATTGTAAAATATGAAGGATAGGAATCACCATAAATATCCTCCAAATGTTTATCTATTTCATTAATATTTAGAACTTCTTTAATCAAAAATGTAATGACTGGAGCTCAATTAAACATTTTAGAAAAAATATTCAAAATATTTTATTGAAACAACTATCAGAAAATACCTAAAATGGTTATATTAATGAAATTTTCAAATTTGCTGCTGTATCTATGAAAAAATTTATTGCAAACAATTTTTTAAATGGAAGGCTGAAAATCTTTGGAATTTAGTACTTAGGTTTAAGATCAACATTTAAACAAATAAAGAAAAACGGCCAAACCATCTAAAGTTATAAAGAATAACATAGAAATCCCTCTAAATAATAAATTTGAAGATTAACTAAAGATGTTACTGATAATTACGAAAATATATGGAAGTTGAAAACGTTGTTAATGTTGCTCCAAAAATTAAGCCCATAATGGCCAAACTTCAAATTAAATACTCTGACTTCATAAAAAATATGAGGCAAGATACTGGTTTAAATTTCACGGGCGAGGTTTGGGAGGAATTTTTGAAAATCTTCCCAATAGCAGAAGATAACCTTAGAGGCATAACTGATTATCTGAACTGACATAAAATTGATTATTATCTCATCACAAAAGAGTATGACCATCTCATTAAAGTTGTAGTCAGAGGCCTTCTGATTGATTGTCCCATTGATGATATCAAACAAGAACTCAGTTGCATGGGATTTAAAGTAAGGAAAGTAGCACAAATGCATAAATTGAGAACGAAGGCTCCCATGCCTTTCTTCCAAGTTCAGATAGAAAAAGCTCCAGATGTAGAGAAAATTTATGATATAACACATTTATTACTTTTCTATGTGGAATTTGTTGAGTATAAAATTAATGGGAGTGTGGTACAGTGTTATAACTGTCAGTATTTCCACCACAATTCCGAGAACTGTAAACTGCAACCTCGTTGCATGAAATGTGCTGTCACATAGAACTTCGGATTGTTCTGCTAAAAGGATTGAGGTAGTAAGGTGTTGTAACTGCTTAGAAGTAGGACACACCACCAATTTCAGGGGTTGTCCTAAATTTCCAAAAGTCAACAAAACTAACTCTAGTTCAGATATAAATTTTACTGCAAACTAATAGATCCCGTACTAATGAGTTTCCCAATGCAAACGTTGCTAGTGGAAATATGATCAACAGACACCCAGTCAACACAAACAGTGCTGAAATTCGCAGTGCTAACACCAGTAACTTAAACATAGGCTCTCTAGTAGAAGTTCTCAAACTTCTAAAGGAAATAGGAAATCCATTTAAGGGTATTTCAGTAGCCAAAATAATTCAGAAAATCAGTGACAAGTTACCAGAAATACAATCAAGAGAGAATTCGATAGATAAAATCTTTTTATTATTCAATTTATTTGAAGAAATATTTATGCAAAATACTACTAACGAGTAATATCTAAATCCCCAAAATACTATATCTTATGATGTGATGAGTTGTACATTAACTCAGTAAGTTAATTCAATTTAAAAATAATAATTCTGTATTTTCACCTTTGAGTTTTTATTTATATGTTATGCTATCTTAAAAAATTTCTTTCCACCAGTCGGCTGGCTCATGGTTCCCCT